AGAGAGAGAGAGAGAGAGAGAGAGAGAGAGAGAGAGAGAGAGAGAAGACACAACAGAGACAGAAAGAAGTTGAGGGTCTTTGCAATCCATCCACATTCTACGGAGCTGCTGCTGGTCTTAAGCTTCTATAAGGTAGCTTCCCTCTTACCTCAGCAGCAGGTGGATCTAGCCTGGGACCAACCTCTTGCCTTATTCTCAAGTCAGGATGAACAAGTAATCCCTTTTATTTAACTCAGGAAAAGAAATTAACCTGCAGAGATTGGAAAAGGAGAGACAGGAATGAAGGTGGGGGTGGGGAGACTCTCCTCCGAGTTTCCGGGGTTTTGTTTGTTTTGGTTTGTTTGTTTGTTTGTTTGTTTGATTTCTGCGCTTTTCTAAATCAGAGCAGTTGAGGAGGTTGCTATTCGGTACCGGGTTTGCGGTGCTTCGGGAAGGGAGTGAGATGAGGGAGAACTGGAGTCCTGGCTTTCTGCAGCCTGCAGATGTAGCCCTGAGCGCCAGACAGCAAGGCGAGAGAGTGCCCTGGCAGTGGTGGTGGCTAGGCTGTGAGCTCAGCAGCGGAGGCTATGCTGATCTCCGCAGCTATCTGGCATCTGAGTACCCAGGCTTTGCCATAGGAGACACTGTCTTTTAGCTGGACTTCCTGAGCATCTGCGGACTTTTAATCTAACGTGTGAGTGTGTGTGTGTGTGTGTGTGTGTGTGTGTGTACCTTTGCAAACGATCATATTCTGGACTGAGGAAAAAATCATTTCAAAACCCCACACCTCGTTTTTTAAGCTCCTGAAGCACTCTGACATTAGTGATGGAAAATTGTGTTGCAATAAGGACAGGTCGCTGCAGCAGCACTCTTCCCACCAACGACTTCAGAAGCTCTGTCCTTGTTAGCCATAGACATATACCTACATACAAACCATCAACTTAGACCTAGACATTAGACGCCAATGTACTGCCATATAGAATTAAAATTTGAGAAGTCTTCCCATCAAGGCATGGCTGGGTGAGGGAGGAATACCTATAAACCTAATTTGAAATACGACAAGTGAATTTATCTCCCACACAGAGAGTGCTGCAGTTTGGATGGCAACCCTCCATCTGCAGCCCCTCCTCCAACAATTGTCTTCTAGAGTACAACATCCACTGGTCCCTAGTCCTTTGTGAACTGATACTTGCCAATCATTTTCTAGAATCTGCAGTATTTTTTTCTGGTCTTAACACCATCTTAACAATGAATACCACTGAAAACAGTCTCATATATGCCTCCCCACCCTACACATACACTGCAAAACCCGGAATCTATGATGCAGTCAGCATTTCTCAGACACTTGCAGCAGCATCTTTACTTAAACCTACCGTTCTGTATACATGTCACACGGCTTGACAGCTAAGCCCAGCATAGGGACCATCTCTAACCTCTAGGATTCGAGAAACCCAGGGGAGCTGAGCCCCTCAACTCTCTTACTTGGCAGGCCTCTTACCAGTAATCCCACTTCATGTGCCCACCTACTTCCTTCTCTCAGGGATTTTTCTCCTCTGTCAGATCTCAAACAAGCTGCATTAACCTTGTGTGTCCATAAGGGAAACCCACAAGTGTCACATCTAACTAGTTGGTAAGCCCAGGCTTGGAGGTCATTTGTCAGGCTTTTATACCCTAGTGAAAACAAAGTAAAACAAAAAGCAAACAAAATGCTTAGAACGAACTGGTGTTTAATGTTTAATGTTCCTTTTGCAAAGCTTCAACGTGGAGTCAGAAAGACTGAAGGCTGTGAAGTCGCTGAATAAGATGGCTTCTCAGGTTGAGAGGCAGATGATTTTGTCAGCAAGCACGACAGCACTAGGAGACAACTTGGAATTATCACTTTATGTATATTCCATGAACTCTTGTTTATAATTCTGTCTGTGCTCAGTCATAACAGGTCTACTTACTGCAAGATCATTTGGGTGTTGTTTGTGTACAGGTTGGGCTCCAGGAGGGTAGGTTACTGGGCATATATACTGACAGAACTGTACTATGATTAGCTTTGAGTCTTTTAAGCTGCTGTCTCTGTACTTCAAAATATGTCCGTCACAGATCAAGAGCAAAGGCTGATTTTGTCTGTTTTGATCTTTCTTCTTCTGACCAGTTTTGAATACAATGTCTTCTATATGACGTTTTTTTGGTAGCAGGGAATCAGAAAGGTTGATTAGTGGCTGATCTGGGGGGTAATTTGCTGAAACTAGTATACTTCCTCTCCTCCGTAACCAGTTTTTATTAAAAGCAAAACCAGTAAAAGCTTTGCTTAGAAGAGATGCTAGTGTATCTTCCTCAAATTCTAATCCAGTGATGAAGCCAGAGTAAGATTTACGAAGTGTTTGCTAAGCAGCTCATGCACTGCAGGTTCCTAGGTAGGGTATCTTTTTCTGCAGTGCTTTTCAGCAGAATTCGGTACTCTAGCTAACACACTTAAATTAACCGTTTAAGAAGAGGCTGGAGAACCATCACAACATTAGAGCTCTTCCTCTTTCCCATTTCATTTTCAGTATTGAATGTGAGCGGTAATACAGTGCTAGAGGGCCCCTGGTATTAAAGCAATAGTTGTAAATTTCGTTAACTCCACCTTTTTACAGAATAGTTGAATGAAAGCAGTGTGTTGTCTGAGTCTTAGCAGCTGCCTACCTTCCCCACTGTTGCCAGCTTGGCACTATTCTATTCAAAGCCCAAATAGAATCTTTTATAAATAATCTTCTAAATAAGATAAAGAGATGGGGTGATAAACAGTGTCATCCTTCCCAGAAAAATCGGTAAGCATCTGGGGGCTAGTGAAAAAGCTCAATAAAAAAGGTAGACAATTCTGACAGTTTAGGTTGGATTAAAATGCAAACCTGTCATCCTTCAATCAGTTTGGTCTCCTAGGGTTTAAGAGATACAGGGTTGTAGATTTTAAAAGGTGTGTTCTTATAATGCATTTTGACTTCTAGACTACATCTAAATACATTATGTCTCTTGAGCCTCATAACTATTGTCTGAAAAAGGAAGTTTGGACTTTCATTACACATGTCTACCCCTTGACTTTTATAGACAAGAAAATACAAGTTCAGTGAGATTAAACAGCACGTTTTCAGACACAGAGATAATTGGTGGCAGGACAGATATTTAGAACTTGTGCTACTTACCTTCCACCTGAGAGTCACTAGAGCTCAGTGCTGATCTGGGGACTGTAAGACAATGGCGAAGTAAATACTTTGCTACAGAGAGTATTTACATAGCCATTGTTCTAATGCCATTTTTACCTTAGTGTTCTAAGCAAATTTGTGCTCTCTCTCTCTCTCTCTCTCTCTCTCTCTCTCTCTCTCTCTCTCACACACACACACACACAGTTAATGACCTGTAATAAAGCTCACTATAAGAATTCCCCATTTAGAGGAATCGTATTTAATTCGTATGTAATAGGATAATATAGTGTGTCCATTTTATTCGTTCTATTTTTACGTTTTCCTGAAATGAAGCATCCCATAGTTAAGATACATTTACTGCCAGTCTGAAGGGTATATAGCCCAATTAGGAGCCATGGGAAAAGAAAAGAGGAGGCGGAAACCTGAGACACATTCCTTCCCAGAAGAATCATAAGAACCTGGGGACTAGTGAGATAGCACAATTGAATACAAGCATCTGCTTCCAAACCTGACAATTTGAGTCCAAGCCCCAGGATCCACATGGTAGAAGGTGAGAATCAAGTCCTACATTTGGACTCTGGCCTCCACACGTGTGCTATATAATACATGTGTGCATGCACACCAAACCTGTATTATGTCCTTATGCTTATAATTAGAGCAAGGGATACTTACAAGGTAGCTCTGTGGATTCTGGCCAAAACTCTCAGGGATGCTGTGTGTGAAGTAGGGATGACATACTAAAAAGAAGCATATCTGGAAGTAGGACTATTAGTCAGTTGACAAAGATCAGCAAAGGGGAAATGCTGTCTATTTTTGGCCAAGGAGAAGAGAAACAATGGAACCCATGGTAAGAGTGAGCTGGGCTGTCTGAGGACAGGGAACCACACCAAGAACAGGGGAGAGTTAGGGAAAAGTAACAGAAGTAGGGTGTTCCGCTTACATTGTTTTTGTTTTAATGCCAACTGAGAGCCAATAGATGTTGATTTAGTGTAGGGATGATATGGTGAAACCACTCCATGAGAAGAATTATTCTTGACAATGCATTTTATTCTGGAAGCATCTACTAACCTACTTTGGTTCCTTGAAGTTATATCTAGTGCATTTGGAGTCATTTGTAAAATCACAACTGTTCATGTTGTTGCTGCAACCTGTAATTTTGGGTCTGTATTGCCAAGGCTTATGGTCTATGTGCTGGCACAGTTAGCTTAACTACCTACATATACAGTTGTATTCAATCCACAATAGGCCACTTATGGACACAATATGTTAATGGAACTTCTTTTTAATTATTTCTTTTTATTTTACCTGTATTATGTTTGCTTGCATGTAGGTTTACGCATAGCTGGAGCCCACAGAGACCAGGAAAAGGCACCAGATCCCCTGGAACTGGACTTACAGAAGGTTGTAAGCTACCATATGGGTGC